AGTGAACGGGTGTTGGACAGTCTCGTTGGTGTTCACTATGGAGAGGTTTCACTGTATATCTCTTCTAATATCCGATGATCCGAATCAATCATCGATCTTCGATGTCTGACTTTGAAAGTCAACCTCGTCCTGAACTCTCAGAGATGGAACAGCACGAAAAATGTTCGGTTTCTTCTTCTTCTTTACGATGATTGTGATTTGGACAGATTCCAATGGTGTGTCAACAAAGATATGAAGCACGTGTTGATTATGAACGCTCATTCTAGTCGGAGAACGCTCCAGCACTGACAGTACTGGCTGAATTCTTAAGCCTAGTGGAATCCGTCGAGGGGGAAGGATGAGCACAAATGCAAACAACACACTTAGCTGCTGGTGCGGTCTCAAGTCACACAGGACACACACCTTACTGCGGGTGAGGGCGAAAGTCGTAGGAGGCATACACCGACGTGTGGGAGAGGGTAATTAGTCTGGTCATGAAGGATTTCTCCCTGACTCCCAACTGATTTTCGACAGACTGCGCTGTGTTTAGAAATTCGGCCACATCTTAACAGACCGATGACTAGTGACACTGTTCGCTCATCCTCCTTTCCCGTGGATAGAGTTTATGTATGTTCAGTAGGAAAATGATTCTCTCGGCCAGGGGAGGTTAATATGATTAAAAATAGTTTTGTATGCAACGTATACAAAATGGACAGAAACAGATTGATGATCACAGTTGTTGAATCAGCATTACTAGCCGTCCACCCAAGGCATTTGCTTGAAAAATCGATCTCCCTTTCATCTTTCATGAAGTGTTGTGATAGCAAGCATCTACGTCACAAATAAACAAAAATTTGTTCCCGAAGAAAATGAAAGAAAGGGAAATAAAGATCACCACTACCGCAAATGGGGCCATGCTTGAATGCTACTCTTTGAAAACATAGTCCAATTGCGCATGAGATATTCTTACTGAAACGCCCTCACGAAAATCGATGCTACTGGTGATTTCTGCTCTACTGATTTGACGGTGTGGTCATGGTCTTCGTGGAATCATTCCTTGTCAATCTTACCGTGATATCCACTCTGATAGCAGTAGCAGCACAGAATGCAAGGAGAAAATAGTGGATTCTTAGGTTCGGAATCCCATAGAGTACAAAACGAATCCTGAGAATCCCAGCATTGCGCGTGGATCCTGGGCGTACAATGAGGATGCAAGCAATACATTGTGAATATCATGTGAAATAAGAAAGATCCTTCTCAATGCCAGTTATAAATAGCGAACTCCCGTCTCTATCTTGTCACACATTGACTACTCATTGAATGGACCAAGTCCGAACATCTTTTCAACAGACATTAGCAACGGTTGGATCCACTGAACACGTGCGAACGAGAAAAAGCACTACCGATACGATCTGATTTTGCAATACATTCAACTATGGTCTAAAGACTTGCTGGATCGGAGATTCCTGTTTCGTCAATTCTCTCACGTAAATGAAACACAATCTAGAGGCGTTGTGAATAAACTTCTTTAGAAGTCCATCGGTTTGGCCAGATCGTTTCTGCATGACATGGGGCCGAATTCTGAAACTCAGTGGAACTCCTGGGAATCCTTGAGAGTTCAGCATCGGGGTTCGTATCTATCGTCTCACCCTGATTGAGGTGTGAGGTCTATTCATATTAAGGCCCTCTCCTTCTGTTAATTTATGCCGTTGATGAGAAAGAATAATTTCGATCAGAAGACACTTTCTTCGATGACGTGAAGACCTATTGATTCTTCCTATTATTTTCAGTCAATTTCACAACGCATTCTGATCTCTTCACTGATCAACGGAACAGAGTCGTAGGAGAATCGATCGTTCTGATCATTCCACTTCTTCATCGATCGAGCAACTCTGCCGGTGAGGATTTCTCCGACATTCGTGAGATGATGAGATTAGTTGACTGAAGTGTTGTCACTCTGGAAGGATCAAAGTCACTATTGAGATTGGTTTCTTAACGATGATTTCAATAATCAACGACGACGACGGAGATGAATCAAGGAGAATTCGGGAGATTCATTCTCAAGTTCTCGTTGAGGTGTCTTCGATAGTCTTCGAAGATTTCCTCACTGATATCGACACGTAAAGCGAGATTTCTCTTCAACTGTCGAAAGATCTCTTCGTCGATCTCCGAAAGATCACAGTGGCGTGTTTCTAGCGAAAAATGAGACGTGTGATTCTTATTCTGGACGATGTAGAGAAGATCTACACGGATGGAATCAGATCCTGCAAAGAAAATTCATCCTATCGACTACGTCTTTCGCTATTGAGATTCGCGAATTCCAACGAATTCATTTCGTTGTTTTTCTACACCAGAAAGAACACCATAGTTCATTGACAAGAAACAAGCATCTCATCCTTTCCTCGACATTTTCGAGAATGAAACCAATCGTTGTGGGAGTACAGGTGAGAGCTATTCAGTGGCCAGCACAATCCTCAGAAGAAGAAGACGAAAAGATGTTCGCTGCCACAGGGAATTTTGTTGATTTCCGAGTTGAATGATAGATTGAGATGATCAAAATTTTCATAATTCTACTCCTAACAAAGAGAAAGAGAGACGAGCATGGAATCGCAGATCTTCTCGGGTCTCACTGCTGATCATCGATGTTCACAACGGGATCAGATTGACAGCAACATACAATAGCAAAACCCAAATAACCACACACCCTCGTTTCCAACATCAATGACGCGATACTCTTCGCCCTCAACCTCACTCAGACCTATGCCTTTTACAATTTCAGGTTTCGTGACATTAACGCATTAGTCTTTGAGAAATTTGACGGAATTCCTTTCATATCGTATGCAGATCTTCCTCATTCCACCTAATGATTGCTCTCGTAATTGAAATGGGTTCGTGATCGCAGAATCATTTTTATCTCAATCGCTCGCCCTCACCCTCAAATTCACCCAAACCCACACCCTCATATGAATCATCTGTGGAGAGCCGACAATAAATGTGTGCTCTGACTATTCTCTCCTTACTTTATTTCGTAGAAAGAAAGAAAAAGATGTGTTTGCTCAAGGACTCTTATGAAGCTGCTTGCATTTGTTGGAGAAAAAGTCCGTTAAGCAATTGACGAATGGCGCACAATATTGCCTATCAGCAGTGGGTTTTTTCCCTTGGAATAAAAATCAGCAGAGTCAATAGTCAATAAATGTAAAGTTGAATCAACATTATTTGTTAGCGGCATTGTGCCATTTGGGTGCTACAGTAACCAGCACGTTTCTGAAACATTCCCGAGAAAAAAATGAATGATAATGAAACTCATTTTCACGGTGGAAAAATCTTTACTACTTTCGCCCGCCGAATTCTGAAGACATTTCAATGTGAGATGGAATGGAACTCTGCGACTAAAAATGATAAAATTTAACTATATTTTTGCTGATGTCTCTAAACATCAAATCGCTGGCACGATTCTTTAAGTCTCTTTTTCGTTCTGACATTCTTTTCAATGATGGAGAAGGCGCTATCTTTCCAAAGGAGAAAATCTTCGCTATTTCATTCGAACATTCAGAGCTCCTCAGACGTGAATGACTCAAAACAGCTAAGAGTCATATAGGCAGCAAGACTCTCTGCGAGTGGCTGACAAATATTCCTACCCAATATGCATTTGTCTTAAAAATAAAAACAGGCCTTTGACAGAGCACGAGCGATTGTTTTCCATTTCCTGTCCGAAGTTATCTGCATGGAGAGAGAATTGAAGATCAGCCTGTCATTGCCAACCTTGACGAGAATCGATCATCGAATCACTCTCTCACGGTACTACGAATGCACATAAAATGATCGATGAAGAACCCATCTCGATTAGGAGATCGGTTGAAGACGGGCAAAGAACAATAGTGATTTGATGATCTTCTCTAGTCATCCGGTTGATCAGTTTGCAGTGAGAATTCTTCTCCTTATAGACGCACGGTCGAAGAGAAGCATCTCATCAAGCTGAATATCCTCTCTAGTTGAGTTCAATTCCTCTTTTTTGCGTAACTCAATCTTTCATCTTCTTTGCAATTAGATTTAGAGACATCGATCGGCACTCGAACTATCAGAATAGCCCTTTCACCTCAACAGATCTCAGTGCACCTCGAATAACAATCAGTTATAAGTGTTGTGTCTACCGATGCTCACACGAATTCTCTGCGAGTATTGTTGAAGAATATTTTCAGAAGCTAATCGCCATACACATTACGTCAGTCTCATTCGCATAGCTAGTGTTCTCAAACAGAACACGTCGAGCGCCTCCAGATTTATAGCTACAAATCAGGATTGCTCAATGACGTTGAACAGCGTCAGTCTGCTACTGTACCAGTTGATTTCAATTAGATGAAATGAATACTGTTTGTGGAAAATTCTCGTTTTTGAAATCCAATCAGTGAGAAGTCCGTCGGACTACCACTTTAATCACATGCGTTCGATAATGTTCAGCGATTGCACCCAACGCCGTTTTCTACTCATAGTAATGGTCAAACTCGCCGTCAAACTGTCACGCTCAATGCATTTTTTCAAGTAGTTCAATAATGGTCGCATTAGCAGTGAAAACAGTGTTCCATGCATCCTTTTTCTATTATGGAATTGTCCAACATTTTACAAGAAAAATAAACTGCATCATCTGCCCTACAAGAGCTGTTTACGAAACAACGCATGATAGTTCTTCCCTTCACGACGCAAAACATGCATTTCTTATTCGGAACAAGAATTCAAATGAGAACATACACAGGAAACGCACTTCCTCTCCTACAAAATTTCATTTCCCATCATATCTTGATGAAGAGGGTGTTGGTGAGGAGACTTTATCAGAACGAAACAAAAGACAAACAAGCGCACGCACTGCCTCCTATGCCCCGTTTCTATCTTTTCTTCAACTTCCCTAGATAGCTAGTTGATATTCACCCTCACTCTCACCCTCACCCTCAACACATCTTCTCCATTCGTTCTCTTTTCTGTTACGGTTTCTCTTCTCAGTGGTGTTTTCCGTCGGCATTGCTTTCCACATATTTAGAAAGAAAACCCAACACTTCGTTCTTTGTCGCAATTTGCGATCATTTCGGACGACGATGACGAGAGGGGAAATGTTCAGTTCGCATCTCTTGCCACCTCGACACACATCGAAGTCTTCAACTAACTGGTTATTTGAAGGTATAGTGAGAATGAAAATGACTGCCTTCACTACCACGAAATTCACTTTTGGACGCGATACTTTGGAAAAAGTGTGATAATTGCAGTGATCATTCAAAAGGCAAAGTTGGTCGATATCAGAATCCAGAACGAGCTTGATGGTGCTTTCAAAAGCTCTCATTTTCGCTGAACTGCTGAGTGCACCCTCGCTCGAATTATTCTTTCCAGCGAATTTGCATTTTAATTCTATTCGCTGAATGACTTATCGGTAAGTTATTGCTTTTAAGAAAAAGTAGTTATTTTCACATCTGCTGAATCAATATGACGAAGTCTGGTCTAAGGTTCCGTAGTGATTCTTGTCGATGTTCTGCCTTGGTTAAATGGCGTATGTTCGATAAGGTCGTCGATGCGGTAGTTCTTGTTCTTTCTTACTGACGCGAGGCAAACATTGAGTGCATCGATTGCCCCGCCTTTGTTTTGCGCCATTCACCCGAATAGAATGACGAAGGAGAGATATATAAGAAGAAACTGGTTAATTGAGGTATAAATGATGCCCAATAGGAAGCGATCAGAAGATAACGAAGCCAACTGCTTTCGATATTTTGACAATCGAGAGTGAAAGAAGAGATGAACAGAGGCAGAGAGAATAATTGAGGGATGAGAGTGATGCCAGGTCCAACGACCAACTCTTTATTCTCGTTCAAAACACTGATGGTGAAAGGGATACGCTGTCGAATATTCACCAATACTGACTGATTGTTTTGAACTTTTAAAGAAAAAAGACAAATCTCCGAATGTATATCTAATGTTTTTCAATCCAAAACTGACTTTTCTTTGTTCTAAGAGTGTTCATTCTCTTTTTCACCACCACTACACTGATTGTCACCGTAGAGCAGAGATTGATCAAAAGTGGCACAAGTGCATTGAGAGTGGAAATCAGTAGATGAAGCGTCGTCCATTGATATCGATATGCCATTGGAAATTCGAAGACACACATGAATCTTTGGCTGATATCGGCAATGAAGAGAGATTTATAGAAGAAAACTTCATACGAAGTCGTCAACAGAATACCAATGATGGTCAGGACGATCAAACGACGAGCGATGTGCGGTTGTTTCAACCATTGACCATTCAAAACAAGTGTCATATAGACACGTTCAATCGCGATCAGGGATGAAAACCAAAAGACCATTCGACCTGATGAGAGAAGAAAATAGTTCAACAATTTACAGAGAATATTATTCAAATTCGATGCCGAAGAAGTACCGGTAATGCTGATGGCTACATGTGTGAGACGAGCCAGGAATAATCCTAGATTGATTTGATTGATCACACTGAGACAAAGTAAATAATGACCAACACCATTCCGGAGGCAAGGTGATCGACGGAATGTGACGAAGGAGAAAACATTATTCGGGATGGCAACGAGAAATCCCAGAAGAGAAAAGAGAATAAGAAAAGACATCGTTTTCCGTTGATGATCAGCAGAAACCAGATCGGTATAGAAGAGTTGATCGAGAGTAAAGGTGAAGGATTTCGAACTGAATTGACATTGTCCACCTGAGTGACATGGTGGACATAGGCAGACAAAGTCACTCGAACGAGTGTGATCTCCTCTCAAACACCGACCCCCAATCAAACAACTCGAACATTGATCGAGATCGTGATCGTATTGGAAACATTCCACGCGCGTGTGATTATCCGCGCAAATACACAGATAGACACCGTCTCGAAAACACAGTAAACTCGAATCGTTCGTACAGAGACGATGATATCGAATGGGAGAGGCATCTAAACGATATGCAGAGAAGATGATCCACCAACGATCGGGAAAAGGTAATTACTTTCGACCAGCGTAGAAACATGCGGACATCGATTGATCTCGGACATCTCTGTTTGTCCATCGATGGACTTTGCATTGACGAACAATGACAAAAGATAGAAATCTGGCGAAGAATCCTCAAAGGAAGAATAAAGTTTTCCCAGAACGATATTTGGTACTGTTTGTTGATTACGATAATATTCGATTGATCGAGGAAGATGTTTGTACACTTGTTGATCAGCAAGGTGAAGATCGAGAGAAATGAAATCAATATCAAAGAATTGCATCACCACTCCAGCATGCTGAAGATTCGCCTCGAGTGACAACCGAATATAAAGTTTCTTCAGTTCACACTTGTCACCATAATACTCTTTCGTACATAAACACATTAGCTGCTCAGGCCTTGGAGAAGGAAGGCACGAACCACCATTACGACACGGGTTTGGTTGGCAAAGATCCTCTTCAATATCACATCGATCACCAAATTGACTAAACCGGCAGATGCAATACGGCAACATATTCCCTCGAAGTAGACGACGATAATTGGGTTTGCATAATGATCCCAATGCGCAATACTGAGAGAGACATTGTTCATCTTCTATCTGACAATTCTCTCCAGTGAAATTCGCCTTACAAAGACAGATGATCTCTTCAGACTTGCGGTTCATCAGTGGATGACATTCTTCATTCGAACGACACGAATGATTGGAACACCTACTTCGGTTTTCGTTCACTTTGGTCAAATGAAGCACTTTGGCGAAACGAAAGACGGGTAGATAATCGAAAAAGATCGGATACTTCCACACAGCAAGCAATGAAGGGGTTTTCAGACGACCAATCTCATAGATTTCGACTTGAATGGAATAGGGTTGATCAGCGAGAATCTTCGAACGATTGAAATATCGTTCTCTTCGTTGTTGACGAAGAATTGATGAATGGGAATAAGGAAGATCAACCATCTTCTTCTGCGCCAGAGTAATGATCTCCACTGTTGGTCGAAGGTGAAATTCATGGGTCATTAATGTTTGATTGTCGGAGAGAAAGAGAACGAGAACTTTAAGAGTGATGTTTGGATCACTCTGACCGGTGTAAAGCGATTGAGAGAGATTCAGATAAAGAAGTATCGATAGCCGATCATTGTGATATTGACATTTCTCTCCGAAATATTGAGGAGGACAAACAAATGATCGAATCATTGCTAGACAAGATGCCGATGCCCCGATTGCACAAAAACGCTGATAAAGTTGACGAGAATGAATGATTGGCTGACGAACTATTTGATGTCAATTGTTCAGTGATGTTCCTCGTCGCCATCGAGTCGATGATATATGCATCAGAAGGAAATCGCGGTAATTGAAAAGCTTTTGGTCTGGTTCTTGCTTGAAGTTCTTTTCGTTCACGATAAGGAATGATCCTTCGACTGGATGAACTCGGATAATCACACATATATTCATCTTCCAAAAATGGACAGTTGAAGAATTTATTGCATCGATCCTCCGGTAGACATCTTCCATCCCAACAGATGAAATCGTTTGCGTTTTGACAGTTCGAAGAGTTATTCCGATGAGAACACCAAGATTCATCATCGGCTCGATTTGGACATCGAAAGCCCAGTTGACAATGCAAAGAATACGGAATGCGAGTGTTGCTCGATGCGCATTTGAAATGATGTCCAAGTTTCAATGGTTGAGAACAGTGTTTCATTGTATTGCTTTCATCGATTGCTCCTGCACAATCAATCCTTCCATCGCCAATTTGTCTTTGATCGATACAGTAGAATTGGGGATAGGAGATTCGTGGAACGAGACAGAGAAAGGAGTTTGTTTGATTACAGGTATTTGGGAGAAAGTAGGATTTATTTGTGGAGATATTGAACGATGCTGCTCGTTTTTGCATCTCTCGCACATGATTACCCAGTATTTGCCCCTCATCGTGAGCCTTTGGACAATCCCATTCATAATCCCATCGCCACTGTTCATCGATGCAATGTCCCGTGGGACATCGCAGTTGATCTGAAGCACAAATCCACCATCGTTGACATTCCATCAAATTCTCATCTTCTGCTGGATCGAGATCCCAAAATGTATTACAATAAGACCGAAAAGGTAGATCAAGCTTGGGAACCATTTGCTCCTTCTCTATCGAACTCCATGATAGCTCGATGTATTGCCGCAGACGAGAGCATTCATGTTTCCGCTGATTATTGCAACTTATTTGAGATAATTTTCGATTTGAACCCAACCATATTTCATCGAATCGATTATCACAATCTGATTTCCCATTTCCTAATGCCACGACACTCAAACATGTTGGTTGAGTGATCGAACAACGAAAACGGTGACGTTGAACAGGCGAACAACTCTTCTGAGTGTCAATTCCGGTCTGCTCACTTTCATCCTTCGTGTTAAGACAATTGATAAATCCATCTTTTATTCGAGTGATCGACCGACATGGATTCCATTCACTGCAAATATCAATCGACTCGTCCATGAATCTGCACTTGCACAGGATTTCCCTGTCTCATCTTCAGTCGCCAATCGAGTGTCTCTCCGAACGTTTGACCAAAAGGCAATCGATATTCACAGTTCTTTCCAAATGACGAGGCTTCAATGCATTGACAAAGGTACCCGTCTGTTGTTGAAACGTTTTTCTGATATCGAGAATATTCTTCGACTCTGTCGATCCCCGATTTCCATTGATGTAAGATTGTACTGATCTTGGTCTTGTTTGACTGAAGTTCACTGAATCGATAGAGCTCTCCACCATTCTGCCGACAAGATGAAGTCTGATTGTCACGAATGAGATCGATCGGTTGATCGGGGCGACGACAATAGGAAAGAGATTGAACAAGAAAACAATCGTAGTATTCAACTTGAAGTCCATCTTCTGTATCAGAGAGGTAAAGTTCACTTTTCACATAGATGGACATCATCAAGAAAAGTGTTCCTCGCCAGGTGAGCAGCATCTTTCTCCTGACAAATGCTACCTTCAAATACCAGCTGTTTTCTCAATAGGCAGAGAATCATCAGCATCTAAAAGAGGGGATTGTTTCAATATTATGGCATGAAGGCGTGCTCTTTCGATTCTCTGTATTGAAACACGTTCATCAAATTCAACATTGCCGCGATGAATGTGATTTTATCGATATTGATCTCTGTCTCACTTTATCTCGAGCTTTGAATGTTCTCACAACCACCAGAGATTGTGGGTGAGGGTAACGAGAAGACCCAAAGCTCTCTTTCTGAAGAGAAGGAATATGAATGAGGTTGATATCGATCTTCTTTGGTTCGATGAGAAGATTGGTGGTTCTAGCCCAGAGATCGGAGATGCTCGACGACTGAATGAACGGCACTGAAAGAGATGATTTGATGAAGGCGAGAAACATTTGAGCAAGAGAATAATTCATTCGAGGAGAGACTTCGACAAGACAGGTCCATTACTTCATCATCGCAAAGAAAACGGGTGAAATGCAGGATTGTGAGTGTCTGAAAAGAATAGAAAATGAATGAGACGTCGATGATGGATCCACCGAGATGATATCTTAGTTGATTTCTATTCAAAGCATTGGCAAGATATTCTGGTTCTTTAAAGGAAGAGAAGCGAGACATTAAAGAGGGTTCATGCGGGCTTCTTGATCATCAGTAGCCATGCTCCTGATCGAGCTCCCTCGTTTCTTTTATTCGTTCTTGTTGCTATTCAGCATTCTCAATACTTTTCGCGCTCGTCGTATTCGCTCCTTGTTGCTCACTCGCTCTTCATCCAGTCATTCTTCATCTTGATCTGTCTGTTGAAAATATCCTCGTGTAATCAAGATCCTTATTCGTACAATCGATAATCATAGAAACATTCTCTCTATGGATTCAAACGACTCTGTCAAAAGCAAACTCCGATTAAAAAACAAAGTGTCGAATAAGACAATCAACGAACGTCCAGTGAAAAAGAAACGTCGATCTCAAGCAACAACACGCGAGGTCGAAAGCAGTCGTGGTCTATCTCGAAAAGTTTTGGTCAAAGCCTTGTCGGAGATGGGCATTGTCAAACCACCGTCAATGTCAACTGATGTGCTACGCTGTCTCCACGAAGCCAATCTTGAGCGTTCCATCCCGAAGAATCGAACAAAGGACGTTGATGCAGCAAATCAGGATGATTAGTTGAATGTTGGGTATCAAAGTGCTGTTGACCGTTACGATGATAATGACAACGATGTCACTGATTTACATGAAATCATCTCAAATCCGCGACATTCCGAACCGCAGTCCGAGTCCGGCAAGACGTTCTCCTTATTTTTTGCTCCGATCGCAATGGAAGCTGTCTCTTCTGTTGTGGGTGGTTTCGGAGGAAGAGGAGAAAGTGATCTCGAACCCGTTCCAAAGGGATTGCGCAAAGCGATCATTGGAGGTTTCAATGTGAATCTAGTTCGTCTTTTAATTCCTCGGGACAACAAAAAATATAGCCGAGATGACGACGAAGATCATGATAACAGTATTTACCTGAAGCCTAAGGCAGATCCTCGTTTGGATCGGCAACTAACTATCCTTGAATTCATATTGGCATTCTCGCGCTATATCAACATCATGTGCGAAGCTTTCTCTCATCGGGGGCGAGAATTAATGGCTTCTATGTCGGACATCATTCGCTTATCAGCTCGCTTTGGGTATCCGTTTTTCTACGATTACCATCGTTTATTTGCTCAAAAAGCGGAAGCTTTACTGCAAACGCGGAACGTCCTTGTTGACTGGTCCAAACGAGATCACGGCACCAGCCAGTCCACGTAACGGTACACCCTAATGGGCGAACTTCGAAGTCGAGATTCAGGGCAAATGAGATAATCATCGTGTAGGGCGATGTCGAAAGTGCAGAAGGTTCATTGGCGAAAGTTCACTGAACTGTCGCCAATGGCGAAAGTCCAGTTTTTCAAAGTCCTTTTGGCGAAGTTCCGGCTAGCTGCTTAAAGTATATTTTCATCGTGCATGTGAAGTTTGTTAAGCGAAACATTTCAAATTTTTGACCGTGACTCACGATGTCAATCCCTAGCCAGGGTTCATCTTATTCAGTGGAGACTGACTATGACCCATCGTTTTGCTTAGTTTTGAATCTCCCTCTTTCCCTGGGTAAGAATCTGAGGAATAGAGAATTCAAATGAACTTCCACAATGTCCTGCTATTAACATGTCTTTCCCCAATAACTTTAATTTCGACTGGGTCATCACAGTTGAATCCATTAGAATTAAACATGATTGGATCTAAAAAGGCAAACAAACTTCGTTGAAAATACTCAGAATTGTGAAATCACTTTTTACCTTAGTGAAGGGACCTGCGATCAGCAATTTATTGTACCTCAAAAACAGACAAAAGAACTTCAAGTACAGTAAGCAGAAGATTTTAGCTTACTCGTCCCATTTGAGTGATGAAGTTTCATGGGTGTTGAAGTAATTCTAAAATTAGAGAAAAGAGATTCAATTTCATTACCCGATCGGTAGGTTTAGATTGCATCTTCATTGTGATACGACTGAAAATCGAAGAAGGCATACGCATGGAGCTCAGAAGATGTACCAACCTAGATTGTCATTGAGGGACAAAGTAGAGATCTTTGCTTCAAAAGAACTAGAAAGAACTAGAAGAATCGCATTCTAGTTCAGTTTCGAAGTTCCGGATGAAGCATGACTGTTTATCAAAATCAGCTCTGCAGAGTTAACTGTTGATTGAAGTCGAGAATAGTTCCGAGTTGGCTATATCCTGCAATGACAGATTTTGAATCGTGGTCCCAACTTAGGTAGGGAAAAGAAACATTCTTAGTAAAACTGAGTAGAGATTCCAACTGGCTATCTTGTGGGGGGGGATGAAGTTTCAATTGCCGGAGACTCTTTGTGATCAGCAAAGTTTGGAACCTCGTGTAAAATCGCCATCACATCGGACCTTGAAGTGAATATTGACAGAGATCAACGATAGAGCGAAACTGTGCAGAGATTCAGCTCATCGTCTCAATAGCTGTTGCAGTCTTGATAAGCATTGAAAGCAGACTGAAAGCAGAAGATTGAGTTCTAGCGAGGAAAGCGATGAGATAAACTAAACGTGACGAATACTATTGAATGACATCGATGAAGAGATTGAAACTCGTGGTCCGATGTGTTGATCGAGCTGTAATCAGCACACTAAAAGATAGAAAAGACTGGGAATCGAACAAAGCAGAAAGCACCATGGGTTAAACTCACTCTATGATTGAGAAATGAAGAAGTATGAATCAGCAATGGAATTAAGCGAGAAAGAGAATGAAATGATTGCAGTGGAGAAAAATTCCGAACTGATCATTTGACTGAAGATGGAGTCTAAATCCGTATAGAATCAGCCGTGAGCGAAAAGGGTGGAGTTTATCGAGGTTGTAAGAGAGATTTCAATTTGCAACCTCGTCGAAGAATGACATTGGAATCGACGAAATTGAAGACAAACTAATGCAAGAAAGACTCAACTGAAAATTGAGAGTAAACTTAACTTACCGAGTCATTGGACGATACAATTTCAATGCTCATTAGAATCGAAGTGAAACCACGAACAATATTTTTATTGGCGTCGTCAAATATTCCACACTTACTTGTTCACTGATGAAGTTGATAGCTGCAGCAGAAGAAATGAAGGTCCGTTGGGATGTTTGCTTATGTTAAAACTAAAGCTTCTGGTGTGAACGAACGATCATCGCAGGATTCGTCGGGATGCGTCAGAAGAGAAGATTGACATAGTTCTATTTCACATCGCTTAATAGCAGTCTTCACTATGACTGAGAATGAGAAAAACAAGTTCTCACATCTTCTTCCGGCCGTTTTGGAAGCCAGCATACAGTTCTGTACTTCGTGAGAATAAGATATTTGTCAGTATGATGTGCTCTCTATCTGGAGCTGTTTGGCTACACAAAGTAAGACAAATACTGTTCTTTTCTACCCTTGCTGGAAATGGGATGGAAGAGAAGAATGAGCCTCCGATCATTAAAACTCTGAGAGGCAGAAAAGATACCCTTATTGCGGAAAACAAATTCCCATTGCGAAAAGTAACCGTATGTGATTGGAGAGAAATGCTTACAGTATATCTGGCTGAGAGGCTCCGTCGAGTATCGATAACCAAATACCCCTCATGCGCATGAATATTTTCGTAAAGCCCTAAAATTTTCCTTCGAAACCCTATGTTATCGTCTAAAACCTGTGTAATACGAAACGACTTTTGAAAGAAACGAAAAAAGCGTTTCTCTCGCTCTGATAGACGCTTGAAGGGTATATTATTAAATTCTAGAACCTTAAGAGTTTCGTATGCGACCCTCTTTTTTTACAGTGCACTCTCACACCCGCACACCCTCTCCTATAGGAAAACCAGTTAAATCGATTAGATCGATTGAACAACGTTCTGCTGTAGCTGGTCGTGGCTTATGTGTAATACCTATTAGATAACAAGAACACGAAAACCAAGCAGCACTGTTTTCAGATTCCTACGGAGTAGATTTATATT